TTACTTACATGGAGATGAGCCCTTCTTTAGGAGCCGCCAATTCTGCAGCCACTCAAGAATTTCCCAACATTCTGTGGAACCCGAAGGTCCATTACCATGTTCACAAGAGCCCTCCAACGGTCCCTATCCAGAGTCAGATGAATCCAATATAAATCATCCCATCCTATATCTCTAAGATCCATTTTAATATTGTCCGCCCGCCAAGGCTTTGGTCTTCCCCGTGCTCTCTTTCCTTCTGGCTCTCCCACCAGTATCCTATACGCATTCCTCGTCTCCCCCATTCGTGCTACATGCCCTACCCACCTCAGCCTCCTTGACTTGCTCATTCTAATTATACTGCTCCAGCCTCCTTATTTTCGTCAATTAAAATTTGTGTGTATCTACATTATCACCCAGTAGATTCACATCATCAGCATAGACTTGCTGATGTGTCCCGTTTAATTTCAGCCCCACCTGGTTTCCCTGGACCTTCCTAATTGCATATTCTAAAGCAAAGTTGAAAAGGAGTGGAGATAAAGCATCTCCTTGTTTTAGACCAATCTGGATAGAAAATTTATCAGACAAATGTTTACCTGCACGGACTTTACTATACGTTTCGTTTAAACTCATTTTAATCAGCCTAACTAGTTTCATAGATACCACAAACTCTATCAGAATATTGTACAATACTTCCCTCCTAAATGAATCATAGGCTTTCTTGAAGTCTACAAACAGCTGATGTACTGTCTCATCGTACTCCCATTTTTCTCCAATATTTGACAAATGCAAAAGATTTGATCTGTTACGTCGAAACCCACACTGATGATCCCCACTGTATATATGGACTTAACCTTGAGAGAAGAATGTTGGTTAAAATTTTGTATGAAGTGACATCCCATGCTAATTACTACAGTCAGTTTTATCACCCTTCTTGTGAACTGGTACAAATAGACTCCTTCCACTGATCAGGCAATTTTTCCTTATACCAAATAGAAGTAATTAGCTTGTGGATCTTAGAACGTAATATTTCGCTTCCTGATTGAACAAGTTCTGCAGGAATTTGATCACTACCTGGCGATTTATACCTTTTCAATTTTGCAATAGCACTTTCAACCTCAAAAGGGCTAGGATCAGGTACTAACGGCTCAGCTGTATGGATGTCGGTCTGACTAACATCACTGACCCTGTGTACATTCAATAACTGAGAGAAGTAGTTCCTCCACCTATTCAAAATGTGGGAATCTGCAAGCAGATCACCATTTTCATCCTTCACTAAGTTACCGCTAGGCTGGTAACCCCTCTTAAAGTCATTTATTCCCCTATACAGGTCTGTAATGTTCTTCTTCTTACTGTTCATTGCAAGCTCATCAATTTTGTCTTTCAGTTATTCCCTCTTCTTGTTCCTGAAATGCCTGCTGGTTTCACGTCTTATATTGTTCAGATTATCCCCATTTAACTCGCTTGGATCCTGTAACCACTGCAATTAGGCTTGTTTTCTTTGGTCTAATAAATTTGAGCATCCTTCATCGAACCATGGCTTATGCTTCTTCGGTTCATAATAACCTAGTCTCTCTTTGGCAGACATTTTTATATTGTCTCTAATAGGTTCCCAAGCTTTATTAACATCCATCTCAGTGTCCAAGTTTTCCAAAGCCGCAAACCTATTTGAGATTCTACACGATACTGCTCTTTGCCCTCTGCCTCGTTTAATTTCTTGAGACTGAACCTCTCCATATGAACTCTGTGCGTTGTCTGTTTGCTCGCTGCCAGTCTTTCCCTAACCTTTGCCACCACCAGGCAGTGGTCAGTATCACAATCTGCTGCCCTGAATGATCGGACATCAAGTATACTTGAGTGCCGTCTCCTGTCTATCAAAATATGGTCGATTTGATTGTGTATCTTCCCATCAGGAGATGTCCAAGTAAATTTATGGATGTTACGATGTGGGAACATTCTACTTTTGACAGTGATATTTTTGATGTGGCAAAGTTTACTACTCTTAACTCCATTATCACCACTAATTTCATGCAAACTCTCATTCCCAGTCGTTGGTTTGAAAATGTCTTCCCTCCCTACTTTTGCATTGAAATCTCCTAACAAAATTTTCATAGGGTACTTCGAGAATTTATCAAATACATGTTCTAGTTCTTCATAGAATATACCCTTTATGTCATCAATTTTATCTTCTGTTGAGGCGTGAACATTCATAACAACGATATCACACCAGCGACCTCTTAGTATTATATATGAAATCCTATCACTAACGAACTCTACCCTCTTAACTGCTGATACGATTCTCTTATGTACGAAAAAACCTGACCTAATTCATGGTAACTTAAGAAAATTTAACTTATACATTCCGAAAATACATTGTGTTCGTAAGTTGGGGTTCGCTGCATGCCGTTGTTTGTTAGGAAGATGACCTCCACAAATTACTGAAAAAAAAACCCTCCGTGATTTCAGTCCGCAAGCGAACTATACCGACCGAGCGCCCGCCGCTTGTCGGCGAAGTTTAGTACCAATTTTTGCGGATAGAGGGTGTCGCGTGGTCAGCGCAACGAATCCCCACGGCCGCTAATTTCGGTTTTCTAGACCGGCCACAAATTACTGAAATTTAATCAAAATTGAAAGAGCCCTATTTCATGGGGGGGGGGGTGTTGACCCATGTGAAGGGTCACTATTCTTCGAGCCCGAATGTCCATATTCACAAGGCAGGGACCTACGGTTGATAGCGAGGGACGCATAAATACAGACAGACAAAACGATGACGTTTCTCGTATTCAGGGAGACAGAAATTACATGACAGGGAAAGTCGTGAGAGAATGAAGGGGGGAGGGGCGAAGGAGCATCATTTTGTTAGCGGGTTCCCAGGCTTCGTCCGCTCGTCCTTCTGATAAGGCCAATATTAAGTGAAAACGTTAGGGTAGTTAGAAACAGTGGCTTGAGACAGGGCCCGCTGGATTTTGATTTTCTGAATTAATGGTGTATCGCATAATTTGGAGGGATAATTTTGTAGCGGTTACAGCAGAAAGAAATGTGATTCTGATGAATTTAAGTGGGATAGGCTGCATGAGAAGCACGCAGTAGCAATCTGGAACTTTCGAACCATCTCAGAATTTGCTTAAATACAGAGAAAAACCAATAAACATGCGTGGCTCCAATAATGTTAAAAGAAATGTCAAGAAAAGGATTAGTACTTCTCACATATATATTTAATGCTATTGTCAAACATAAATACTGGCCAAATCAGCTAAAAACAGCAGAAATAATCCTGATCCTCAAACCAGGCAAAAATCCTAATAGTGTGTCATCCTATCGTCCTATAAGTTTATTACCCATCATATCTAAGCTCCTCGAAAGACTTCTCTTAAAGAGAATAAGGTCTGACCCAAACACAGAAGAATGGATACCATCACATCAATTTGATTTTAGAGAAAACCACTCCACTGTACAGCAGATACATAGAATAACACACAAAATACACCAAGCAATAGAAAATAAAGAATACTGCACATCGGTCTTCCTCGATGCAAGCCAAGCCTTTGATAAGGTATGGCATCCAGGACTACTGTACAAAATCAAAAAATATCTGCCCATCACTTACTTCCACTTACTAAAATCATATATAAATGGCAGAGAGTTCAGAACGAGAATCAATAATAGTATATCTAACAATTCTGCAATAAAATCAGGTGTACCACAAGGTAGTGTCTTAGGCCCACTACTTTACTTACTGTATACAGCAGACCTACCAGTCAATGCCAACACAACGACGGGCACATTTGCAGATGATACCGTGATCCTCTCAGCCAACCAAGATCCAGCAATAGCTACCACCACTTTGCAAAATCATCTCAATGAAATACAAGAGTGGACAAATACATGGAAAATAAAAATCAACGAAACCAAGTCAGTGCAAGTAAACTTCAGTCTAAGAAGAGAACAATGTCCTGCGGTTTTCTTTATAAATACCTGAATCACCCAGCACAAAATACTTAGGTATTCATCTAGACAACCATCTAACCTGGAAGGAACATTTACTAAAAAAACGCAAACAGATTGATTTAAAAATCAAGGATATGCACTGGTTAACTGGAAGAAATTCCAAACTCTCCTTAGACAACAAAATCTTACTTTACAAAACAATAATAAAACCAATTTGGGTATATGGAGTGGAAATAAGGGGATGTGCTAGCAAAACCAATATTTCCATAAACCAGAGATGTCAGTCAAAGACACTACGTATGATTACTAACGCCCCACGGTATGTTTCCAACATAACACTCCATGAAGACCAGAAAGTGCCGCTAGTAAAGGAAGTCATAAAAGGGAAAAGCACAAGATACCTCAACAAAACAGAAGGACATGAGAACGTACTAATGCAACCGCTACTGGAACCTCACAATGGATGAAGACTAAAAAGGAATTGGCCAGCCGACCCGAGAGAGGGTTAACGAAGACTTATCTCTGGATAAGCCCTCTCTACGTCACGGGGAATAATACAGCCAATTATCTTATAGAATCAAATGTAATTCTGATTGCTAATATTATGTAAATAAAAAAATGATATATACAGCTAAAGGTAAAGTCCCTGTGCTTAACTAATTAAGCACTACGCCATGAAGGCGTATGGGGGAGTTCAAGTATAGATTCACTTTTTCTTCACTTCGGCACTAGTTGGAAGTGAGTGATCAGCTTCACGTTCCGGCCGATTTACCCCCGCACCCATGCGATAGGAGGCTGAGTGGGCCCCAGAGTCAGTCTGGACGACGTTGAAAAGAACAAATTCTTGACCCTACCGGGACTCGAACTCCGACGCCTCGGTCGTCTAGCCCGTAGCCAGTCGCTATACCGACTGCGCTATGCAGTGCTGAGGCAAAATACTAAATTATTTTTAATCTTATAACAGGTGGTGCCTACAGTGACCACTGCTGGCCACCCCGAACGCATGAAGGACGCGTGTGCTGGCCGGCCATGTTTACAGCCGGCTGAGCGGTGGGAGTTCTGTCCGGCGTATAAAAGCGGCCCGGTACTTTCCACGGCAATCAGTTGGAGCTCAAGCGTGTGAGTTTTGTGTACTGTGCGCAGCAGACGTCGCGCCTACAGGTGAGTACGCATTTCAGAATGAAAGAACGCAGCCAGTACATGAGGCAAACGTTTGAGAGACAGTCTGTTTATCTGCAGCGTGAAACTGGAGGGTGGTTGTGAGTATGAAAGGATTCGGTCAGGTGTTCGTGACCTAATTTTCCGGCAGGGATTGAGCAAAAAAAGACGAGAAGCTTCAGCCAGGATAGTCTGTGTCATAGCCGAGATTCGAAACGGTCATCTTCCGAACTGGAAGTTGAAAGAAGCAGTTGGGCCCTAATTATGGTACTATTCAGGCACTTTCCTGAGTAAAACTGCGATAAACATCAATCGATAATCTATTTTATTTCCTTGTTTATTTAACGACTTGTCAGTAGTTAGTTAGTTATTAGAGAGGGTGGGTTTCCCCATGCACTTAGACCTGTAGTGGTCCATTTTGCTTCCCTCTATGATTTCTACCAGCCTCTATATCCTACTGGTATTGGTGCTTACCATCAGTCCTGCCCAGCCAGCGAGACCGGCTCTACTGGCTGAGAAGTATAATGCTTCCCCCATCTACCGGAGGTATTAGTGACTGCTGTTGGGCGGCAAACGTCCGCAATTTTGGCTCAGTGACCTCCTTTGGAGGTATGAGGTTCTTTTACGTGCCGTAAAGCTACGACACGGGACCCACGGCTTAAAGTCCCTCCCGGAGGACTTGTTCCCTGAATTTTTCCGCCCTTAAAAATTCGACGACCTCCGCCGGGTATTTGAACCCGCGTAATACGAGTCATTAGGTGGAAACGTTACCTCTAGACTACGGAGGCTGCAACGACTTGTCAGTAACTCTGACTGTTGTGATTAATGGCTTGAAAAGGATGTGGAAGGAAGCGGTCGTGGCCTGCTTTAAGTTACTATCCCGACCCTTTCTGAGAAAGCCACTAAAATCCTCAGGCCAGTCTGTGTCTCAGTCGAGTTCAGAACTCCTGGTCATCGAACGCAAGTGCAGCGCTATGGCCTGAAGCAACCCGCCCAGTGTGTGTGTGTGTGTGTGTGTGTGTGTGTGTGTGTGTGTGTGTGCGTGAGTGCGGACGTCGGCTCTCAACGGCGCCCGAACAATGAGTAATGTCTCCTTGACATCAACATTTGGCTGTAATTTAATTTAACTTCTAATTTAATTTCAAATATACAGGACCTACTGAGTAAACTTGTCTAATAAAAATTACTATGGGCTGACCGCCTCTTCGGTCTAGTGGTCAGAGTTCCTGTATACAGATCCAGATGTCCGGGTTCTAACTGTCTGTCTTGAGAAGGAGATTCTTGGTATAGTCCTGTGTTTGTCTGTGGCGTGCTGTGTTGTTTTTAAAACAAGACAGACAGGCGGCACAAGTTCAGCCCCCATCAAGAAAACGATAGGAGAAGGGACACGAACCTACTTGGTTTAAAAATTATAACTAAAAGAACAAAGTTTTAAAAAAACTTTTAATATACCAAGAAAGGTGCTGTAGTTGTGGAAAAGTTGGATTTTGTATATATTGTGCATTACAAACATTGTATGTATATGTGTTTTAACACTCAAAACACCCATTGTGATAGTAGTTTCCAAAAAAAGTATCGATGTTCCCTCTGATGAAGGTCTATAGGGACCGAAACATGAAGGGCGTTGAGTTTTCAAGTAGTAAAACTCCAACAGTCACACTGGACGGAGTTGTTTTGTCTTTGTAATTCTGGGCATGCGGATTACAAAACGGGGGTAGGGGGGAGATAGCGCTCAGAATAGTGCCCAACCGGGTAGGATTCGCGGCAGGGGCAGATCTTTCTCTTCTCCGCAAGGTTCTGGGGCTCACCCAGCGAGGGGAACAGACACGGACCAGAAGCTCACCGCTCACATCCATCTAGTGCCGCTCTATGCCTCTGTTTCATACGTCCTCATGGCCTGACTCTTCCGTGCGAAAGCGAACGTTACTTCTGGAGAGAACTATCCTCCGGGATATGACGCCTTAGAAGTTAACCGACGTTTCGGAGGAACGTACTGCAGAGATCCTTTCCAGGCATATATCTAAACCAAGGTTTCCATGCACGGCTCTTGGCTTAAACTTCAAAAGTTAATATCAAGGCAGTACGTAGCTCCGAAACGTCGATTAACCTGAACCCGACTACATGAAACACAGCACTGTTCACAGTAACCGCTATAAGAACCTTAAACCCAGCCTTTCATTTACATACTTGGATTCGGCGTTCTAGGCCGAAGCACGACGTTTCGGAGAAACATACTGGCTCCATCTTCGGGTCAGAAGAGTAAGCCACGCAAGCAGCAAGCAATAGAATGGTATTTATTTGCCGCCTGCTTCTTTTAGTTTATTGCTTGTCTTACTCTGGACCCTGAAAACGGAGGTGATACGTTGCTCCGAAACGTCTGGCTTTCACGCTGCTTTACAAGAGCAATGCTTACGAAGCTTGTTCATGATGCAAGCGAGAGACAGAGCTGGAAAGTGCGTGGGTTAACCCGGAGCGCCTGGAGCAAGCAGCCTCTGCACTTCCTGCTGCGAGCTTTCAATTCTCGGAAACTCGCGATCCCCTTCAGCACTTGACGTTACGAAGGACATTGCAAGTACAGAATAAGGAAACCCGGCGAGGTACATTGAATTCCTTCCAGCACAGGTCACCGCGTTCTGTACGGCCACGGAACGTACGCTCTCACATTAACTGAACATAACACTGGGGCTATTGAGGGGAATGCTTGGACCTGAGAGGGACGCAGCAGTACGGTGAGCTTCATACCTTGTACGTTCTATCAGATTGCATTACAGTAAGGATGAGGGGGGCAGGGTATATAGCACACACAGGAGAACTTCATGGAGCTGGGCCCTTCTTGAGAAGTCCCCAATTGTGCAGCCACTCAAGAACCTCCAAACATTTTATGGAACCCGGAGGTTCATTACCTCCACTGGTCCCCATCCTCATCCAGATCAATCCAGTCCACACCACCCCGTACTGTTTCTCAAAGATCTATCTAAATATTATCCTCTCACGTACGTCTTGGTCGTCCTAGTGGTATCTTTCCTCCTGACTTCCCCACCAATATTCTACATGCCTTCCTCTTCTCCCCATTCGTGCTACATGCCCTGACCATCTCATCCTCTTTGGCTTGGTCATTCTAATTATACTTGGCGAGGAGTATAAGTTATGAAGGACCTCATTATTCAGTCTTATCCAACCTCCCGTCACGTCATCTCTCTTCGGTCCAAATATTCTCAACACCCTGTTCGCAAATAGCCTCTGTCTATGTTCCTCTCTTAACGGCAAACGCCAAGTTTCACACCCATAGAGGAGTAGGTACAGAGTTTGATATCAAGACCCTGAAGGAAGACGATCACTACGAAGACCTAACCATAGATAGGAGTATAATATTAAAGTGGACCTTAGATTAATAGAATGGGGGTGCATGGATTGGATTCATCTGGCTTAGGATAAGGGCCAGTGACGCCATCGTGAGGATAGTAATTTATCTTCGGGGCCCATGAAATTCTGAGGATTTCTTGAGAGTTGGGGAACTGCTGTATGGGGTTAGCTGAAACGTCTCGGTACACTGGGCAGCACTCCCGCCTCGTGTTGAGAATGTACGGGTTCACACACTGGCTATCCTTACTGAGCTCTTTCGTAGTTTTCCCAGTCCATCCATGCATGCTCTTGGATTACCAGATTATTAGTCGGTATAGCGACTATGCTACTGTTTAGAGAACCGATGAATCGAGGTTCGATTCCCTCTGGAGGGAAGACATTTTTCTCCTCTACACAGCGTCGGGGCCTGCCCTGGGGCCCACGCAGTCTCCTGTCCCAATGGGTATTGGGGGGCTCTTTCCCATCTAGTGAAGCTATACCTCCACTCCGCCATACGTTTCCATGCTGTGGAGCTTCATAATTGAGTACAGGGACAACTTCGCCTTCACCGCTTCACTGTTACGTCCTTCTCAGTTCATATGCACTGACCACTAACATCCGACGCTACATAATCTGAGCTGACAGCGTCGTTAGACAAATACTAAATAAACAGAAATAAATATTTCCGGAATGGCAAAACATCTCTCATTTTATTGACGTGTCCCTGTCAACTAGGTCTGGTTTTGGTTTCTTGGCTGTAAGGACAGTACAAAACCGGGTTCTGCAACAGATGGGGGTCTGTGCTGTGTGGGGTGTGGGGTGCTCAGAGCAACGAGCATTCTACATTTTCACTACGGTCCGGTCAGCAACATGTTAGTGGCGAATCCAAGAAGAGTAAACAAGCAATAATATTTGCAGTGCTTTAGCCTAGTGACTTGTACATGACTTATTATTGTGTGCCAAATTTAGTAGTCTCATAAGGCAAAGGTAAAATTCTCCTTGTGCTTAACTTACTAAGCACTACACTACGAAGACGCAGAGGGGAGAGGTTACATAGATCAACCCGACTACTTTACCCCTGGGGAAAGAGCCCCCGGTATCCATTTGACAGGAGGCTGGGTGGTCCCCAGAGTCGGTCTGGACGACGTGGAGATGAGAAGAATCTAGCCTCTATCGGGACTCGAACTCCGACACCTCTACCATCCAGCCCGTTGCTAGTCGCTTTACCGACTGAGCTATCCGGGTTCACATGAGTTTATAATTAACGTATTGCAATTTATCTGTTTATGTTCTGTTGAGAGCTCAACAGAAATTCTCTTTAAATATTTTCTCCCACATTCCTTTCAATTACTGTAAGTTATCGAACGATACGTCTACGCCGACGTTTAATGTCATCTCCCACGCATAACACGCATAAATATTCAATTGTAAACCGTCTCCTTTATATAGTACAATTCATTTTACACATCCGTATCTAAATGTTATCAGTACTCCTGAGCAGATACGTTACAAAGAAACGAAAGTGTTAACTCTTCATTTACATTCCTGCAACATGATCACGCTTGACAGTAAGCTCAAGATGCATTATGAAAATGACAAACTTCCCGCTTACAAAAATTTACAAACGACACAGCAATAGATCCAATTATGCGTCTCAGATATGTATTTCTTAATTTGAAGTTTACACTTGCGTTCGGATAATTTAGGGCCTGAAGATGACACATATTTGTCGAAACATGTCGCCTACGTTGCAGACTGTGGGAAGAGAATTCACGCTGTGTGGCGGGAAAAGAAGCATATATCTGAACTGAGCCACAGAACAGGAGGCAACACTGCACCGCGAGTGCTGTAATTGCTGAGGCGATACCAGGGATCAGATTGACATTTCAGCGGGTTGCTGGTTCCTTCCTTTGTTTCCAGGGACTAGCACCGATAGAAACAACGATAAACTCTTCAAAACGGAAACGAATGTAAATGATCGATATTGTGCAAATCGTGTGTCAAAATAACATATAACAAAGGAAGGGAGTACGCTCATGCACATGGGGGTCAAACAGTGAAGTCATATCAGTCACTGAACAACATAACAAATGGACAAAATTATTTCTAGACCAACTGTGATTTTAGTTGTACTTGCCTGAATAAAACATGTTTACATGAAGATGTCTTATCAGTTCGTGTACATTATATTCGGTATGACAGTTCAGTTTCATACTATTAATTAATTTTGAACTGACATTACGAAAACTTCTTTGGGGAACAGAGATTCGCATAATAATCTGACATAATATTCGGTGACAACGGGAAGTAAACCAACATACACATATCCGGGCCTACATTTCTGTGTCGGGCTTCGTCTTGTCCCATATTGCGAACAGCTGGGTTTTCATGGTTTTATAGACCGCCATCTTGCTGCGTGCACAGTCTCTCTCTACAGCAAAATCGTAATAAAATTCCGTCAAGACTATGGTAACACAATACGATTGTGTATGCGCACGCGCTGGCTGCAGTTAGTGCTAATTCTACCGGTAGGTTAATCTGTCACCTACATGACAACTACAGTACCTTCTTGAAGGCTGCATCTTTTTATTTGTTTTTCAAACGCGGGTCTTATGACTCGACTGTGAGGCCCATATGTTTTGGTTACTGGCTCATTTGGCGATACTGTGGGCCTATAATGACGAACGATATGATGACTGATGAATGAAAATTTGTAAGGAAGTGGACGTGGCCTAATTGACGGAATTTTCCTGCTGTAACTGAAGAAAACTACACAATCCTCAAATCAGGATAGCCTGGGTCTCGGCCGAGATTCGAACTGAGCACCTCAAGACCGTTACCGCTATGCCAACCTGCTGTGTCATGTAATATATCGCAGACGTCACTGTAGGCATTTCAACGCCACTAGAATAATAGTAATGAATTCTATTTGTTGTAAGTTACGTGATATCTGAGAAAAAATGGTAAAGCTATCCCTGTAACAGACTTGGAGGGCCACAGGCTTGTGAGACGTCGAGGCTCCCACATTTTCTAGAAAATCGGCTAGCAGATGGCGGTGAGGTTTTAAGTCTTACTCGCCGGCCGACCTGTACATCCAAGAAAATTCTTGGTACTCATTTCTCTTAAAGACTGAGTCGACCCCAGGGCCATAGTGCGGCTGGAAGGATTCATTCATTCATTCATCAGTAATCTGTCAGACGACAGGTCCACAGTCTCTTCCAAAACAGTTCCTCCACTTAATGCAATCTAGAGCTTTCTCCTTCAAATGAGAATATCCTCTTCTGTCCCCAAGGTCATCCAGCATCTTCTTACGTCTTCTGGTCACCTCTATCCGCCCCTCTATCTTTCCTTCAATAACTTCTACCAATCCAATTAGCCTTCCGTTTTCTTATTTCGTGTAGGATATTCCTCTGCTCAGTGACTCTAAATAACACTTCTTCATTCCTCACATAATCGGTCCAACTGATTTTCTCCATCCTTCTCCAACACCACATTTCGAAGCTTTCCAGATGTTTCTGATCTACTGCCCTAAGTGTCAAAGTTTCAGCCCCATACAAAGCAATGCTCCAAATGTAGCATTTCACTAGTTTCTTTCTCAAATTTAAGTTCAGTTTGCTGGTAAAAAGATTCTTCTTCTTGCTAAATGCAGCTTTTGCCATGGCAATCCTAGATTTAATTTCACTAGTACACCTTCCATCATGTGTTAACAAGCTACCCAAATATTTAAAACATTTCACATTCTCCAGTTGTTTTTGGTCTATCTTTATTGTGACTGAGGTTTGTCGTCTCGAAATTTTCATTACTTTTGTTTTCTCCACATTCATTTCCATGCCATAGCACCTTCCAATTTCAATTAGTCTATCAATCATGCCCTGTAGCACAGTTTCTTCCTTAGCCATTAACACAAGGTCATCTGCATATTTCACAGTTTGAATAATTTGCCCTCCTAATTTGAAGTCTCCGAGCCCATCCAGAGCTTCCTTGGTAAGGCATTCGCTGTACAAGTTGAACAGAATTGGTGATAAACAGCATCCTTGTCGAACTCCTCTTCCAATCTGGACACTTCTTGTCTCCCCACTGTCCAGTCGTACTCTAACTTTCTGATCCATGTCCAATTTGCTGATCAATCTTCCTTCACGCCAATCGATACCTGTTTCTTTTAGGATCTGCATTAATTTGGTCCAGTTTACACGGTCAAATGCCTTCTGCAGTCTATGAAGCAAACACACAGTTCTTTCTCTATCTCTAAAGTTCGTTCTGCTATAATTCTCAACATCCCAATTGCATCCCTGGTTCCTTTTCCTCTTCTAAATCCAAACTGATCTTCTCCAAGTACATCCTCTATTTTCCTTTCAACTCTTCTTTTAATTATCTTTGCTATTATCTTTGCTGTATGTGCAATAAGGCAATAATACTAAAAACAGGAATCCTATTTGTAGATTCTAAAGTTTTCGGACAGGCCGAGCGGTTAAGACATGAACTGTCTTCGCCCGCTCCAACACTTGAGTTGTAGGTTCGAATCCCACTCGAGGCATGGATGTCTGTGTTCATTTATTTTGTGTCTGTGCTATCCCGTCCGTGTATAGGATTACGGAACTTAAACCCAACAGAGGGGCTGTAAAGCCACTAATGAATGGAGGAATTAAAGCGTTCCCACAATGCTGTATATTGGAGTTTTGGACTTTGTCAATCGTCCGGTATTCTAAAAAAATTGAGAACACAACTTTTCGGAAACTGGATCTCTTTCCGTCTTCAGCTGACGGGTGTGAGACAGCTACAGTGTTGGGTCCTTTAGAAAGAGCTAACTTCAATCACTGGACCCAACCGAGTTGGTGACCCCCTCCACCTGAGGACGAAAAGCAGATCCATTTTCCGAAACGCTGTGTTTTTTCGAATGTCGGATGGTGGGCGCACGTGGCAGTGAGAGAGTTCCTACGTGTCAGTTGGAACTGCAGCCTTGACTTTCTCTACATATAAGACCCACAAAGGGATAGTAGTAGTAGTAATTGTAATAGTAATAGCAGCAGTCACAGAATTGAGGGCCAGGTACCTATTCTTCAGTCGGTATTGCAGTCTCGACCGTTGCCGAAAACAAGCTCCCATTGTTGACAGTGTGCATATTCAGTGAAATAGTGGTTTAGTGCGTATAGGAATGGATCAGTGTGGAGGGGTCTGTAGATAGACATGGGAACTGAAAACCCTTCAGTGTCCTTCCAAAACTACTGAACTTACTGAAATAAGATGATTTTGATTAAGTTCGTTTTGAAGAATTTCCCGTTGAAATTTCAACGGGCTGTATACAAAGCCCTCAACTGTCGTGTTTCTTTTGCAGAAAAGCCCACGCTGACGTTTCGGAAAGCCTAAAAGCGAACAAAGGAGAAGCGGGCCAGCCCAAGAGCACTTGACCATCAGAATGCTACAGTTATTGCTACTCGTTTTTGGACTGAACTTCAGAGCCATGACGGGACTGCCACAGTCCATGGTGGCGTCCAGTCCATCTCCGCTCAAGCAAGACTTTGCTTCAGATCTGTATGACGTCGCACGGGGCACAGAGGTAAGCGGCCATGGCAAGGCGCGAGTTCTCTGTAGTTCAGTCCAACAGCTATGAGACATTAATGACTGTCTGTCTCATTTTGGTATCTCCTGTCATCAACCCGCACCATATCACATATACAATCAGGCCTCCATTTACAAATTCTGTCTTCTTTTAGCCAGGTTTGTTTATGCATTTTCTGTCCCTTTATCTTTTCCCCGTGCACGCCTCTCCTGATATTGTTGAGTTCTGTATGCCCTGAAGCCTGAAGAAGAGAGAGAAGACCCAGTTTTGCGGTGTATTGTGACGCCCTACATTTTGGAGGGGGGCACAAAGCTTTTCATGCTTTAATACTTCTCACGCTGTGTCCTTAGCTCTTCTGGTAGAGGTACGTTTGAGAAAGGGTAAACCATAAGGAAGTGACGAAGTTAAATCGATGGAAAGTGAACTTCGTTCTTTGAAGAAATTTGCACTGATATTAATGCTGAGAGTGTTGCACTATAACATGAGGAGGGCTACATGTGAGGCATGCATTGTAACGTGGGGAGGGCTACATGTGAGGCATGCAGTGTAACGTGAGGAGGGCTACATGCGAGGCATGCAGTGTAACGTGTGGAGGGCTACATGTGAGGCATGCAGTGTAACGTGAGGAGGGCTACATGTGAGGCATGCAGTGTAACGTGGGGAGGACTACATGTGAGGCATGCAGCGTAACATGGGGAGGGCTACATGTGAGGCATGCAGCGTAACGTGGGGAGATCTACATGTGAGGCAGGCAGTGTAACGTGGGGAGAGCTACATGCGAGGCATGCAATGTAACGTGGAGAGGTCTACATGTGAGGCATGCAATGTAACGTTGGGAGGGCTACATGTGAGGCATGCAGCGTAACATGGGGAGGGCTACATGTGAGGCATGCAGTGTAACGTGGAATTTGGGCACCAACTCAGCATTTGCTCTATGACCGAGAAAACCCACGGAAATCATTAATCGAGCTGGTCGGTCGCAGGACCTCCCGGATGCCTGCAGTCCGGCGATTCAGTACACGAACCGTGGCGTCAGCTCTGATCTGCTTGTGGCTCTGTTTTGATAATTTTCATAAGAGTTTATTTCGAATGCATACTTTGGATATGCAACAAAAAATTGTCAATGACATGTGCAACGAATATACGTATATATGGGGGCACTCGGCAGCGCAGCCGGAAGTCGTGGGTTCGATTCCCGATGAGGTCACTGGATTTTTCAATTGGCCTATTCCTTACAGCCCCTCTGTGGACCTGAGGTCGATTCAGCCTCTAACAGAAATGAGTACTAGGAATCTTCCTGCGGGAGGATAAATGGCGGCCGGCGCGTATGGCTGACAACCTCACCCCCATCTGCGAGCCGACTGTCTAGAAAATGTTGCAGCCTCGACTTCTCACAACCCTACTGGCCTCCACGACCTGTTACAGGGAGAGCTTTACCCTCTTTTATGTACGCGAGGAAGTCATAAAATTGTAATTATCAGTTTCGGAAGTTCTCCCCTGCAGAAATGACGTCATCGTCGTTTTGGAATCGGTTACCACGAAGTGGCTGCTTTAGCTGCGTTATATCGCAGAAGTTACGAGCAATAACTCCTCTAGATGAACAAACTTCTACTAGATCATACGGTGTCACATCTTGCAAGGGCAGACTGTGTCTTCTGTAAGGTAGGAACCGAACGTATAAATATTGTGACGGGGGGTGGAGTCCAACTGGGTCCACTCGGCACGGCGGTCGCTGATTGGCCTATTGTACCTGACCCGGGTGATTATGATTTTGGAGAATTTGGTGGAATGAAGATTTGCAGGGGAAACCAAAGTACTCGGAGAAAACCCGCCCCAGCGTCACTTTGTCCACCACAAATCCCACTTGACCAAACCCGGCCGCCGCGGTTGGAAGCCAGGGACTAACCGCTTGAGATATGGCGCGGCCTTTGTGACGGGTTGCTCAAAGCATTAAGATGTGGAACCAGAAGTACCCGTGTAAAGCAGTCAACAAGAAAGGTCTCAATAATCACAACAGAGGAACTACTGAAGACGTCTCCTAGGCAACAGATACAGAAACGGGCAGTCACATCGGAGACGCAAAAAGAGAACTCTTCAAGGAGGTGATCTCCGTGCGGTCCGACCAGAACCTACCTCAGGGAGAGAAGTGACCAGAAGAAGACAATACGACAGAAGAATACAGAAGGATAAAGAAGAGAAGACTTGAGGCCAGTGCAAGATCCCGACAACAGTGAGAGATTCGTTATCGCGAAGAAGTCAAATGTGTCACGCGACAATATTGTTTGGGTGAACTTCGTGCTCATGGGAAGATTTGCGTGTGTATGTTTGTATGGTAGATCAGGAAATGCATGCTCGCAGTCACGACGGGTTCTTCTGGTAGTGACGTCACGGAGTACCGAACAAGCCGAGGCAGACGTGCGCTCCGTGAGGTGTGCTCACAGTCAGGTAGCCGGGTCACGGCAGAGGTCGCGCCTACCTCACGCCGTGGGAACAGTCACCCGCCTCCGCGCAACAACGACACTAGGCGCAGTTCTTGCTTCTCCCTTGCACGTTCACTAGGGGCTCCGCACCGGGCACTCTCAACCCAGTCACAGTATCCATTGCTGATAAAATACGAAATACAGGTTTCAAGAGGCTATACTGTATTAGCCTGAATACACGGCGACATTCCCGGCAGAAGTATGGCACTGTTCTCTCCTCCTCCAGTGTCCAGTTCTGGGGCACCCCAGCCTCTGCAGTGGGGACCGGGGCCTGAAGCTGAGTGCTCATCTCCACCTAGTGCCAAGGTCAAGAATGGTGGAGCCATACCTTCAGCCCCCCCATGCGTCTTCATGACGTGGTACTTAATTAATTAAGCACAGGGCCAACTTTAAATGACCTTACTGCTTATTAGAAAAGGGTACTTACGAATAAAGGAGAAGAGTACGAAAAGCTCTAACCGCGAATTCTACTGATATCTGTGAAAATGCCAAGAATTATATTTCTTTCGTTCATTCATTCAGTCAGCCATCAGTGGCTCTACAGCCCTTTGCTGGGCCCTGGCCTCTTCTTCAGTTTCGTAAACTTTTTACACAAACGGTAGGCCTCCCTGGACGAGTCAGAATTATTTTACGGTATTAAATTTTGAATATACCATTCCTTAGTACTGGTTTTGCTTACAGCCCTGAGAATTTAACAGCACTGGATAAAATAGAGAGAGTGGGGGGGGGGGCGTCGCCTAATTTATGGGCTTATGACGTAAGCATTTCTCATGAAAGTGAGACAACAGACTACTGGGTGGCTTCACTTTTCGGGATTAGTCTCACCGAAAGTTGAGGGTTCTCCAACGCTTAGGCAAATCTTGCAGTTGCCTTCTTCAGGGTTAATTTCTTCTCAGATTGAGATTTGAATCCGGGAAGTCTCGAGTAATAAGCGGAAACGCTCTTGTCAGAAACATTCGGCACGAACAGGCCACCGAATGAAACCAACTACACCAACCCCGGCTCCGTGTAAGTATTTATCTAAAATGGTGGAGAAAGCGATACATCGAAGAAGAGAAATTGTGGCCTTGCAGACATTAAGCAATATGGCATACTTCGGCTTCTCCAGAGGCAGAAACTAGAAACACTGCACAATGGAGATATAAAACAAACAAACTCAGTGCCCCTTGAAATACCCTGACGGTCACCAGCGTCACTTCCGAGGCGCTAACAGCATGTCACCAGCCTTCAATTATTTCCTCTTTTCAGAGCATCTCAGAGTTTTCTCAGAATTTCACATGCAGTATCAGAACTACTGTAGTCCAGGCAGGGAGATCCAGGGGAATTGCCCCAGCGACATCAAACTCAGCGGTAAAGACAAAAACATTGTGTTCCTTATTGTGTGCTAAAAGCAATTTTACTCCAGTACAGAGCAACTACAAGAAAATACTTGAAATTAATATTCTGAAACTGTTAAAATGAATAGTTTTATATACAATGAAAAACTAAAAGCTTACAGTGTGCTTAATTTCCGACGTCTCTGTTTTTGGCGGAAATGTAAGCCCCTTTAACTGCGTGATTTTCATGAGCTGTATGAACAGAATTCCTCCAAGTGCAAAGCTGCCATTATGAAGACACAGAGAACGACTTCAAGCCCAAGCAACTGCGTGCCACATCAACGGCAATAAATAGTCTAGCGGTGCATCTTTGCTTCAGGGTCCTCAACGGCAATAAATAGTCTAGCGGGGCATCTCTTTGCTTCAGGGTCCTCAACGCTAATAAATAGTCTAGCGGGGCATCTCTTTGCTTCAGGGTCCTCAACGGCAATAAATAAGTCTAGCGGTGCATCTTTGCTTTAGGGTCCTCAACGCTAATAAATAAGTCTAGCGGTGCATCTTTGCTTTAGGGTCCTCAACGGCAATAAATAAGTCTAGCGGTGCATCTTTGCTTTAGGGTCCTCAACGGCAATAAATAAGTCTAGCGGGGCATCTCTTTGCTTCAGGGTCCTCAACGCAAATAAATAAGTCGAGCGGTGCA